ACATCTGGACAGTGGCAGATGGAGGAGTGAAGGAGGCAGAGAAATAATACCTGTAAAAATGTTTCATTTACCAAATTTTATTATTGCTCAACAATTTGACTTTTTGAATGAATATGGTTTAAACCATTTAAATATATATTTTATTTTAATTTATTGAAGAAAAGCACGAAGCAGAAGAAATAAAGTACCATGAAATGTGTTTGTGTCGTCGTTTCATCATCTTGACCCGAAGGATTCAAGACAAAGCTATTAATCCTCGAACAGAAGCAGCTCCGATAAACTCTTTAACGTCTGTTGCTCTAAAATAATTTAATAAAAATAAAAGAATAAAAACAGAGAAGAAGCTGAGCTTCGACTTCCTGTCAATCAGAACCTGTCGACCAATGACAGCAGCCGACAGAGCCGATGTCAGACAGGGTGTGGTCGCATCGCTGCGAGGCAAGATAAGAGTCCGCGCACACGCGCGCACACACACACACACACACACACACACTTTAAGGCTAAAACTGAAAAATGTTCAGCCAATCAGACGTCTTTTTTAATTATTTTATTAATCGAAATGGTTTTAAAATCATCTTTAATTGGTTCAGAGTTAGAAAAAATGTGCCTGAATTTGTATACAAACAAACCTTTACTGATAAAAACAAAACATTTTAAATTGTTTAAATAAATGTGTTTGTAGATGCAAAGCACTAAAAGTTCCCACACTGTGCGTGAGCGTGAAGTTACACTTGGACCCGGGTTTTATTCTTCAAACAGAAGGTGACGTCTCAAACACAGCTCAAACTAAAACTGAGTTTTATCTTGACTGTTTATGTTTTCAGTGGAGCTGTTGTTTTAGACTGGCTCCTTTTTAAATATTAAAGAAGTCATGGTGCATTCAATAACAAATGGCTTCCAAAATACACTGAGATAAAACAAAAAGGCTAAAATAAAACAGTGGAGTTTTTGTTGTTTTCTGTTGAAATGTAGTGACTTTTATTATGTCAGGTGATAATTTGTAGTTAAAAACTAAGCTGTGGCCTTTCAGTTTTCTGCTGGACAGTGAATGCAGCACGAGGGGAAGATGTTTGAAAACTTAAATCTGAACAACTCAGTGGGTGGAATAATTTCAAATCCTCAGAGATAAAAACTGAACTAGATATTTTTTCATTATAATTTTTTCAAGATGCCCAAATGTTTGCTCTGCAGGAGAAAAAAAAAGAGTTTAGTTTTATAAAAATGTTTAAAGTTGGATCCATGAAGTTTAATGAGAGCAGCCGACTCGTCTTCTTGTTCTTTAGGGAACCTTCAAAGAACGTTCAGTGTTTTTATGTTTGGACTCGAGCTCAGCAGCTGTTCACTCGTAAACTGTGACGCTGCAGATTTCAGGTTCTGACCCACTTGCAGCCTCCGGCATCAGCGATGCTCAACGTTCTGCTGCATCACGACTCAACAGAACGTGCAGCGGGACAAACGGTGTTACAGTCAGCTGCACCCTGAGGAAGAGGAGGACGATGAAGGAGATGATGGGCTCTGATCTGGTCCAGAAAGAAAGCCCAGAACCTGAGCCGAGGATTATTCAACTTTAAAGTGGGCCAAGTTTTAATTAAAGCTGCTGTTAAATAAAAAAATACAGAAAAACAGAAAAAAACTTTTCTCTTCAAAACAAACTTTAAATATTTTATCTTTATTTTACTTCATGTATCTGAATCGTGGTCTCTGCAGACAAAGATAAATCAAAACTAATGCTCATTTTCAAAGATACCTGTGACCTTTGACCTTTGGTCCCTGAATGCAGCAGCAGTTACAGAGTGGTTCTGATCGTAAAGGTCTGGAAGTTCTCAGGACCCGTTTGTTTGCAGGAAGTCAGTGAGCGGCACTAAAGGTCGCCTCGGTGATCCTAACCAGACAATTTATGACTCGTCGTCTCAACACAAAGAGACAAACGAGGAGGACGACCAGACCAGGGACCAGAGACTAGTGACTAGAACAGGGACCAGAGCCTAGAACAGAGACTAGAGACCAGGAACCAAAGAACAGGGACTAGAGACTAGAGACTAGAACAGGGACTAGAGACCAGGAACCAAAGAACAGTGACTAGAGACTAGAACAGGGACTAGAGACCAGGGACCAAAGATCAGAGACCGGGGCTAAAGACCAAGGACCAGGGACCAGAGACCAAGGACCAGGGACCAGAGACTAGTGGCTAGAACAGGGACCAGAGACTAAAACAGGATTAGAGACCAGGAACCAATGAACAGGGACTAGTGACTAGAACAGGGACTAGAGACCAGGGACCAAAGATCAGGGACCAGAGACCAGGGACCAGACCAGAGACCAGGGACTAAAGACCAGGGACCAAATACCAAGGACCAGAGACCAGGGACCATAGACTACAACAGGGACCAAAGACCAGAGACCAGAAACTAGAACATGGACCAGAGACTAAAACAGACCAGAGATGCTTAAACTATCACTCTCAACATCTACATGAATATTGAAATCACCCATTATGATGATTTTATCAGTATTTAATAATAAGTCTGTTAATAATTCTGATAATTCAGACAAAAACTGAGAGTAAGCTCCTGGTGGACGATATATAACAACTAGTAAAAGTGTCTTTTCTGATTTCCATTTTGGATGAGAAAGACTGAGGGACAGAGATTCAAAAGAATCATAACTAATAACTGGTTTGGCATTAATCAATAATCCTGATTGAAAAATAGAAGCTACTCCTCCACCTCGGCCAGTTGTTCTAGGAACATGAACATTTAAATAATTAACAGGAGTGGATTCATTTATACCAACAAAATCCTCCTGTTGTAGCCAAGTTTCTGTCAGACACAATAAATCAATATGATGATCAGTTATCAGTTCATTAACTAACAGGGATTTAGAGGAAACAGATCTGATGTTCAATAATCCGCATTTAATGATTTGATGATTTTGCTCTGGTAAAGTAACTGTGTTTATTTTAATCAGATTTTTATGGTTTATATTTTTAGAGCTGATTTTTGGTTTATTTAATTTGAGCCGTGGGCGAGTTGACACTGTTTCAATGTGGGTGTGGGTGGTGTACAGAGGAGAAGCAGCAGAGAGGGGTGTAATAATCAATAATTTGGGGGATAAACAAAATCAGCCATATTTCTAGAAAGAAGAGCGGCTCCGTCCAAAGTGGGATGGATGCATCTCTCCGCATCAGACCAGGTTTTCCCCAGAAAGAACTCCAGTTATCTTTGTAGCCCACGTCGTTGTCAGAACACCACCTGGACACCCAGCGGTTAAACCACGACATACGGCTAAACATGTCATCGCTGGTCAGGTTGGGGAGGGGGCCGGAGAAAACTACGGAGTCCCACATGGTTTTATAAAGTCACACACCGAAGCAACATTAATTTTAGTGACCTCCGATTGGAGGAACCGGGTGTCATTACCGCCGACGTGAATAACAATCTTACTGTATTTAGTCTTAGTCAGCAGTTTCAGATAAGATTCTATGTCGCCCGCCCTGGCCCCCGGAATGCATTTGACTATGGCTGCTGGAGTCCCTAAAGCCACGTTTGGGACTATGGAGCTTCCAGTAACCAGGGTCTGCTTCTCAGCGGGTGGGTCCCTGAGCGAGGAACATCTATTAGAAACGTGAACGGGTCAGTGGTGAACTGGGGGCTTAGCCTTAGCACTACGCTTGCTCCGGACCGTCACCCATCCTGCCTGGGGTCCCGGCTGCTCCGGGTCTGCTGGAGGACCGCTAACGGGAGCTAGCCTCTGTGGTTCCACGCTGTCTAATGGGACCTGGCTAGCTACTGGTTTTTCTATAGCGCAGAGCCGAGCTTCCAGTTCAGACAGCCTCTCCTCCAAAGCTACCATAAGACTACATTTGTTACATGTATCATTACCACTAAAGGAGGCAGAGGAGTAGCTAAACTTCTGGCACACGTTTGGTACCAAACTTTCAGATGTACCAGCTTCTGTCGAGCTGACCCATTGTGCAATCGGTTGAAGCCCAGTGTGGACTTCTCTCGTTCCCTGCTCTGCTTTACTCCGCCCACTCACAAGTCACGTGACCAGATCAAGTGACCAGTCAAATCGAAGCCTTTGCGATTAGAAAATATCATTTTATCATATCACGATATTAATTGTTCAGCCCCCCCCCCTCATATGATCACACACACACACACATTACAAATGCTTCTGATGCCAATGGCCACTGTGTTGTTCAAATCAAGAGCCATTGTCAGCACTGGGGGCTGAGCAGCCCCTACATGGGCTTTTTCTAGAATCGCCCCTGCCTGACGGATCAGCTCCCAGGATTAAGATTAACCTTTTTTAAATTTCTGTTTCCTTAAGGTTTGTTGTGGGATTATTTTGGAACCCTAAACTCTGGAACTTCAAATGGATATGAAATCCTAAAAACAAAACTTGTAGAGCTGATTGAACTCTGGGCCGGAGTCTTTGTGGGTTGTTTATTTGGTAAACTTTGGTTGTTTATTCTGATAAATCAGTTGTTTTAAAGTTTCTTTAACTTTAGTTTATTTTCCTCAATAAATTAAGATTGTTTTTGTCTGTAGTTTGTTGTTTTATCTGTGAATTCTGGATGTTTACTCAGTAAACTCCAGTTGTGTGTGTGTGTGTGCGTGCGTGTGTGCGCGTGTGTGTTCTCAGTCAGAGCCTCCCTCCGTCTCCATCCTCCTACACCACCAGCAGCTTCAGGATAAATCAGGAGGCTGAAGCTCAAACCGTCCAGGAGGATCTGCAGGGTCAGGGTGGACGTTTGATTTAAGCTGTGGGGCGTGGCAGGCGGGTGGGGTGTACCTGTTGCTGTGACCCCAGCAGTATGTCGGTGTCGGGGTGGTCTGGTGGTGGGAGGTCCGTGTCGCAGCAACATCTCTCTCATCGTCCCGCCCACATTTCTGCCAGCTGATTGGACGGCAGGGTGAGGTAACCTAGCAACCCTGGGATATCTCCCAGCATTCCTCTGGGTTGTCTCTGGTCCCAGTGGACTCAGAGGCAGATCTGCTGAGTGAGGATTCAGCAGGCAGCAGCATCAGACCAACTCCCACTCAGCCAGAAGGAAAACAGTCAGAAATATCCTCGGCTGATGACGGACTGTTGCTATGGTAACCTGGGAGGTGGCGTTCCCTGCAGGAAGATTTAGGAGGAGAAACGGTCCACGGTGAGTTGACTGATGTGGACTCTGGGTTTTGTGTTGCTTTTGAGGCAAATGGATCTTCAGAACTTCATCACTTAGCAACTGCAGAAAATAAAACCTGATTCTAAAAATAGATGCATCTTCAAACGAGCCGAAACCATTAGGACACGTCCGTGTGTGTTCAGGAGGACAGATCTGAGTCTTCAGGAGGACATATCTGTGTCTTCAGGAGGACAGATCTGTGTCTTCAGGAGAACGGATCTGTAGGTGTTCAGCAGGACGGATCTGCTTGGGTTCAGGAGGACGGACTTCGTCTTCAGGAGGACAGATCTTTTTGGGTTCAGGAGGACAGACTTCGTCTTCAGGAGGACAGATCTGTGTCTTCAGGAGGACAAATATGTAGGTGGTCAGCAGGACAGATCTGCTTGGATTCAGGAGGACAGACTTCGTCTTCAGGAGGACAGACTTCATCTTCAGGAGGACAGATCTGTGTCTTCAGTGGGATGGATCTTTGTGTCCAAATATTTCCTCATCCGGTCCACATAAATCATCTCAGCTGCTCCAGGTTCTGATTAATTCCGTTCTTTGTTCTTTCAGGTTCTGCAGAACTTCCTGCTTCAGTAAAACCAGCAGATTCTGACTCATCATGTAAGTTGGAGCTGATTTCTTATTGTCCTTCATCCTGATGCATCAGTTTTCTGATCCGTTGATCTGCGTAGTTCATTAAAACTAATATTTGGATTTCTGTCCCTTCTGGTCATGTGATCGACACCTGATCCCGTCACCCTATTGAGCTGATTATTGATCACCTGCAGCCATAGATTGTAATGGATCACCCTCCAGAGACAGACCGATGTCTCCTGTCCTGTCAGCAGCTGCTTTATTTCAGCTTCACAGAGACCAGAGACAAACATTATGACTTAATTGTGTTTGAATAATTAAAACATCAGCTGTAATAAACTGAACATGGACATTTGACTCTAAATAGTTAGTTTAGATAGAGGATGTGTTCTCTGAGGTTTTGTTTAACTGTTATATTTTATTCTTTATATCGTTTAAATCTACATTAAAACGAGCAATCATACCATCATATTCCCCTATGTTCAGAGAAAGACGTAAACTGACATTTTATGCAAAAATGCAGCGTGAAAACTGAGAGCTGATCGACCAGAGCTGAAGCTACAATTGAGTTGTTTGACAAAGTATTCAGAGGAAGACTGAAATGAGCTAAACTGAAGCTAAAATTAGTAAATTGAGGCTAAAATGAGCTAAACTGAAGCTAAAATTAGTAAATTGAGGCTAAAATGAGCTAAACTGAAGCTAAAATGAGGCTAAATTGAGGCTAAACTGAGGCTAAATTGAGCTAAACTGAGGCTAAAATGAGCTAAACTGAGGCTAAACTGAGGCTAAAATGAGATAAACTGAGGCTAAAATGAGCTAAACTGAGGCTAAAAGTAGCTAAATTGGAGCTAAAATGAGCTACATTGAGGCTAAAATGCACTAGACTGAGACTAAACTGAGTTAAACTGAGCTATTCCGAGGCTAAAATTAATAGGATACGGCTGAAAACTAAAATAATCAAAATAGCAGTCAGAAGCTAAAAGCAGCACGATTGTGGGTAAAATCAGCTGGACATGCTAAAGCTAACATTACTCCAAAAATTGCTAAAATCTCAAAGGAGCTGGAATTTAGCTAAAAGCTAAAATTGTGACTAAAAGTAGCAGAACAGTAGCTAAAGTAAAACAAATCAGTGGCTGAAAAATGAAAAGGAGATGAATTGTAGCTTAAAGTAGCATAAAAAGATTAAAACAGAGCGAGCAGCCGAAGCTGCAACAATGTTTTGAAGGAACTGAAGAGATCTCGAGTGTTTCTGAGAGGAACTTAACTAAAACCTTAAATTCTCTGAGGAACCCCCTGTAGTTGTCATGGCTCTGCCTCAGTTGTTGGGTTGCTGGTTCAACTCCTGAGCTTCAGTTCTTTGTTCCCAGTGTGCTCCTCAGAAACCTCACGCCTCCCACAGAGAGCGACCACAGCTCCCAGTCAGCCCGTAAACATCCCATCATCGACACATCAATTATTCAGAGCGTCACCAGACCCCAGCAGGGATCGATGCCGTGCCGGGGGTCCGGTCCAGTCTGAACGAGTTCTGACAAACGACCAGAAACACAAACTCGGACAGCAGGGATTATTAATCTGTTGTCTTAAATTAGGGCTTTGAAAGTTACCAACAGAAGAAGTGAGTTTAAAACTAGAATCATCTTTTGTTGAGAAATGATGGAGTTGTAGCCGTTTGGGTCGGACCTGGAAACAACGGCAGCGCAGGAACCTTGAAACTGATTCAGTGCTTCGTGAAATGATTTTAAGGTCGTGCACCTCCTCAGGTGGAGGAGTTCACAAACCGTTTTAATAGTTGACCAGAGAGTCGCCGTAAAGTGTGTGATCGACATTGAATCAAGCGTGTGTGTTTTTCAGGTTCTGATCGGGCCGACGAGCCCAGAACACGGACCCCCAACGGACACCATGGTCCCCTTTTCTCTCTGAGGTACCAACAAACCCCCACGGCTGCATGTTTCCGACACTTCCATGTGTTCCTGAAACAAAAAGCCGCCGACTCTGGAATAATCCTTTTGTGTTTGTTGGACACACGGAACAATACGGAGCTGCAGCAAAGCATGCTGGGAGTTCTGCTCACGGTCTGAGAATTACATCCAAACAAATAATCTGACCGGAGCCAAATCCTCGTGTCACGAGTCCACGGGTCCAGTCCCTGTGGTTAGCCTAGCTTAGCACAAAGACTGGAGGTGAAGGGAAACGGTTAGCCTCGGATCAGTTTTTACATGTCCTTATAAAACACTGCTTTATTGTTTGTTTGTTTGTTTGTTTGTTGAGCTGCTGGTTCAGATTCACCCCTCATACTGCCTGCATCTTTTTTACCACATAAAAAAAGTTATTTATTATTGATGTTTCAGTAATTTCTGTATAATAATGAGTCTGTCTGTGACTTCACGGCTGCACATTCAGATTTTATTCAGACTCCTTGATGTCAAAACTGTTCTCAGATCAGTTAGAGGTGACAGAACCCTGCTGCTCCAGCAGAACCCTGCTGGATTCAGAACTCTGGTCCAGCAGAACCCTACTGGATTCAGATCTCTGGTCCAGCAGCAGAACCTGCTGGATTCAGATCTCTGGTCCAGCAGCAGAGTTCTGCTGGATTCAGATCTCTGGTCCAGCAGCAGAGTTCTGCTCAGACCTGGAGGAAGGCTGAGTGTGTTTGGGCCTCTGAGGGTCAAAGGTCAGCACAGTTTGGTTCTGAAACTGATCGGACCGATGAACTCTGCGGCGACTTATTTTATGAGAGATTGTGTTTTTTATGTTAATCTGAGTCATTTTCCAGAAGCTGTAAATTGTCAACAGACCGATGAAAGAATAGTTTTTTTGTTGGAAGCAGCCAAGTTACTCTGAGGATTTCCCACGATGCATCTGTGTTCTTCAGGCTCCTCGGGTTAGAGCTGAACGTCTTTAACAAACTCTCATGTTTGTCTCTCAGGACGTGACCGCTCAGCAGGCAGGATGATGCCAAAGGTGAGCACCAAACACGCTGCAGCTTTACCTTTGTTCATTTAGTTATCTGTTTCTTTGTTTATTTAAAATATATTTAATATTTAAATATCGTACTGATATGTTTTAAATAAAATGCACATTGAGGCTGCTGACTTTGACCTCTGACCTGTGACCTTGTGGCTTTAACAGAAACTGTTGATTCTGGAGGTCTGAACAGAAAAGTTCTGTTTCAGGGATCCGCTTCAACTCTGGAAACTGAAGGTTCAGATGTTGGTTTGATGTTAGGCAGTAAAATTATTTATTTATTGTGTGTGTGTGTGTGTGTGTTTGTGCATGTGCAGCAACTGGCCCAGACGTCTCCAGGAAGCGTGTTGTCTCTAAGAGGGACAAGCGTCCCTGGATCCCCCGCCACCCCCATAGTGGTGAGACAGACTCTGAACATCAGCTTCAGATTAATCTTGACCCTGTAATCTATAATCTGTAATCTGTTAACCCCCCTCGCCTCTCTGCAGGCCCGGGTGGAGGATGGCGTCATCGGGTACAAGGACCTGGCAGCGCTGCCCAGAGACAAAGCCATCCTGGACATCGAGAGACCCGACCTGATGATCTACCAGCCGCACTACAGCTACAGTCCTCTGGAGGTGAGCCCCAAGTCCTGGTCCAGCACTCAGGTCTGGGTCCAGCACTCAGGTCTGGGTCCAGCACTCAGGTCTGGGTCCAGCACTCAGGTCTGGGTCCAACACTCAGGTCTGGGTCCAGCACTCAGGTCTGGGTCCACATGATCCAAATGTCTGGTTTTGTCTTTTTGTCTCGTTGAAATGTTTTTCTGTCACTTTGTTGACCTGTTTTTGTCTTTTGTGTGACATTTGTCACTGTAGATGTTTTTGCATCTTTGTGTGGCTGTTTTAATGTTTCTGTCTGCTTTCAGTCAGTGTAACCAATAAACAGCAACAAACAAACAACAAATATAAACAACAATAAACACAAACAACAATAAACACAAACAACAACAACATTAGAAGATGGTTTCAGCTCAGTTTAGGCTGGAGACCCTGAAATAACATAAAATAATCTGGAGGACAACTTTAGATTAAAGACAAGTCGTCTTCTTGTTTGGAGATCCAGGGATGTTTTCAGGCAAACCGGGTCAATAGTCTCATGGATCAGAACCAGGTCCAGAGCGGAGACCTTCAGTGTTTTCCTCCTCTTGTGGGGACATTACTTTGTTTTCATGATCACTCTGTGAGGACCTGAAGGATCAAACAGAACAGGCTGAAAGAGTTCACTCCAGAAGTTTTACACATTAATTCACATGTAACACTCAAACACACTCACTGTAAACAAAACATGTTGATCTGCAGACTGCACGCAACAAACATCACCTCAAACACACACAGATTAGATTTTAGTCACGTCAGCCGTTTCTGTAGGTAAACAAACATTTCAGCTGTTTCTGTAGGTAAACAAACATTTCAGCCGTTTCTGTAGGTAAACAA